ATCATAAAAAATGGAGAGATTATTGAATCTCGGATTTTGATGATGAAATTAATTGATAATGTTATGATCTAATCTACGTTTTGAGTAACACTAGACTAGCTTCGATCAAGAGAGACAAATTAATTAAAGCAAGGGGAATCAGATGTTGGGTCAAAGTTGAACATGTCAGGAGATTGGACGTCGAGCCGAAGGATCGGTCGATTTGTCGATAGAAGGTTTCAATCCGTGAATTCGGGCATCAGGCCAAGAAGATCGGACATTGCGCCAAGAAGATTGGATATTACGAGAAGACAATATGCTGATTGGGCAATACGCCAAAGGAGAGAATGATGCGTCGAAGGATCGGACGAAGCGTTGGAAAAACCAATGACATGCCGGACAACAAATGATTCGTGCTTCAAAATAATTTGTCTAGATCGAGTTAGTTGAGGTCATAATTGGGTTGGTTTAGAATGTAATTAAGCTAACTCAATTAGGGGCCAACTGGGCCCGAATTGGGGCTGTTTTGAGGCAAGAGAAAGGCTCATTCAATGACCCAAAAGTTTAGTCAGGTGGTGGTACCAACGGTCTAGGCGATAGCACCGCTAGTGGCTCAGTCTCCAAGATTGTGTTAGGCGATAGTATCGTCAGACTAGGTTGTGGTAACGCCAATCTGGGCGATGGTACCACCTAGACATAGTCTCCCAAGTGACATAGTTTATTTTAACATTTATCACCCCACTTTACTCTATTTAGAGATATTGGTACTTAGTTTGGTTAGATAATTATGAATATTATCAAAAATAAAGTATGAAGGTTTAGGTTGCTCTAAGCCTCTAAGGTCAAGATTCTAAGGTCAAGATAGTTGATCTAATATGATTCAAAGTTAAAAGATCTGATTGGTTTAGAATACGGAGAAAGGTTGATATGGATCAATAAGGGGTAGTGATCAAAAAACAAGCAATTGAGATAAAAATATATATATTCTTAGAAGGGTATAATTTCAGTCTGAAATCATTAGCAAGAGCTTACCAAGCCTAGTTAAAACTCTAGAAGGACTACACTAATTTTTTGACCAACTAAAATTTGGACTACGAAAACCAAGATCGAAAATTTTACATGAGAATATGAAATCATATAAAATTGTATTAGAATTATTGATTTGAAATGAAGTACCTCCATTTTTTCCTTGGGATTGATAATATAACTGAAATCATCATAAAAAGACCAAGGCAAAGGATTCAAAAGCATGCGATGAAAGATTTTTTTCAAAGTGAATTACATATATAAAAAATAGTACTGGTATAAATTATAGAAAGAAGCCATAAAGATTTACCTTGTTCTTCTATTATTAAGTATAAGGTTTGAGCATCCTTGCTCACTAGATAGACACATGTTTTATTGGGCTTCCAAGCAAAGATGATTTCTCTAGATCGACCATGGGTAGGAGAGGTGATTCATTTCCAATCACAATTGAGCTTATAGATGTACCTATGATTAGTCTCCAAGTTAAGATGAGTTTTCGATAGTATAACAATGCTAATGTAAATAGTTCTAATTGAATATAATAAATGATTGAGACAATCACGATTGTGTGCACTTCTACAGTTCTAACTTAATAGTTTCACGAGGGAAAGAAAGGATGAGTTGTCTGCTATTTACTAAAAAAAAAGAGTATTTATGGAGTCTAATATTTCTTTTCTACTTATGTATTTGGAAATAAAGGAGAGAGAAAGAGATACTCTCTTAGGAGAGACTAATCTAGTCTTATGTCCTTACTTTTGAGGAAAATGAGACCATTCTATAGGTCATCATCATCTAGGAGGATGCTCGCGTGTTTTTTAGTTATTTGGTTAGTAGTCTTATAGAATCCCTATTCCACCTTATCTACTAAGAGTTGAAAATATTCATTTTTATGAAGGTTCAAGGGAGAGAGAATTTTAGATCAAGGACTCAGCAAGATATGTTTACTATGTTCTTGCAAAAATAGATTATATGTAGATGAAACTGATAAAGAGGAAATAGAGAACAAGGGAAGATGAGTTGTGTTATACATCAAGGTAGTGTTTGAGAAGGTAAATGATGTAAGGGAGTCTTTTGGTTAGAAAAATATATTATCTTTTGTAATTAAAGAGATTTAAGTGTCTAAGGATGATATTAGTTCAATCTTCATCGTAATTGATGAGAGAGCAGACTTCGGAGGCGAGACATTAGATATAACAATTACTATACTAGATGAATCGGTCAAGGGAATGATGTTGGCATATGTTAAGATTGTATAGGAATTGAAATCAACTTTACTAGCTACCAACCCTTCCCTTTTCCAAGCAATGCCCCAAAATCTAGGGTGACATCATGTTCCCAACCTTTCCCTTCTCCGATGAATAGTTAGTTTAATGTGATTAGTGGTTTGGGAAGGAGCACTATACCCTTGAGTGATTTATCAAGGTTGAAAGTATTTTAAGAGTTCTAATTATATTCAAACTACTAAAAAGAGTCCTAATTATATCCAAACTCATTGGTGGATTATGATTTAGATTATGGATTCAAGTAGGAAGAGTCTTTAAAGAATAGAATTTATGTTTATAAATATACCTTGAGTCTTCAGCTTTAGTGAAGCGGAGATATAAGATACTTTCATTACTTCTAAGAGTTAGTCTAGTAAATCTAGAAAGGATTGAATGAAGAATTTTTCATATTTGAATCAGAGGATATATAAAAAAAAAGTTGTGCTTGAGAGAACTCAAGGGCCTTGTAATTGATCTCATATATGTGAGAGAATTTGATTTTCTCTTTGGATGTAGGTAGGGAGTTACTGAACTATGTTATATCTTGGATATTCTTTTTTTTTATCTTGATTTTCAAGTGTTTTTCTTTTCCTCCCTAAAATAGTTGAATTGAGTTTTAAGGTTGAACTTAACTATGTAGATTAGGGATTGTTTAGGATTCATGATAGGGATGTGGTTAGTGCAGGTTGATTTGGTTTGGGTTGGGTCCCTCTTGGGTCTAGGTCAATGTTGGACATCCACGGGTCATACATTTGGCCTTCTCTAGTAGAGAGGATGATCTATATGCTGAAAATATCCTCAGGTCGATTTTTCTGATGATTTCATAGACATACATTGAGCTATCTTATAACCCAATAGCCATAGGAGTAATTGATTTTTAGGGGATTTTCATATGCTATGGTTTGAACAAAGTCCATCTTTCCTATTTTCACCTAGATGAATTACGGAAGTGGAAGAGAGAAATTAAGAAGAATATTGACCTTTGTAAATTTTGCTCATGCCCTAAAGATAGTGATGTCATCAACCCTAAGAGGGATACCTACTTTGGTAGCAATTTGGAAGATGATTCGAGGGACAAAGGATTTTATGGGTGGGTTTGGCGTATAGATTTACATGGGGATAATGGTAATACGTTCTTTGAGAGTTTAAAAATTCTCATTCCATAGAAATAAGGAGAGGTCATTACTCATGAGAATCAAAAATCATAATCTAGGGTATTTATTATATCTTATTTGGATTAGAAGTGAAAGCAAAGATAACCTATAATAAGATTAATAGCTTAAAAACTCTTCGAGAGTTTTTAAAATTTTGAAAGAGAAGATTGAATGATATCAAGAGGAGCAGGACCAAAGAGTTTACCGTAGAGGCCAAGTCATGAGGTGCCTCTAACGTGTTGGAGCTTCTATGAGTTCAAGTTCCACCGTATGCCAAGATGTATGTTGAATTTTCTTTAGTTTTTACTCCAAACTCTAATCTCAATCCTTCTCTTCTCTCCAATGTCTTACCTTGTCTCATTCCAATAATGCTCTTTCTTTTAGTGGTGGTTCTTCTCTTGATTATGTCTATATTATTGAAGAATAGGAAGCGACAAAAGCCGTAACAATGAACAAAAGTGGAGAGGCAAAGGTAGGATAGACAAGAGGCAGAGGTGAGGAAGAGTTGGATCACCACATCATAGGCATGGTGGGTGGGGGTATAAGAGAGGACAAAGTGGGAGATGATGGGGACAAAGATACCCAAGAGGAGGAAGAGGGAACAGGAGACCATTGCATGCTTAGCATTAGGCTAGTCGATGAACATCCACCTGAGGTAAGATCGGAAGCTCTTGAGCTCATCGTCAATGTGGGAGTGGTTGCGTGTGTACGATGCCTTGCGTAGTAGTGGCTCAGTGCTACTGTTGGTGGTCACTTCCATGACAACACTTCATTCGGTCATTGATGGTGGTCTCAGTTTTTTTTTTTTTTAACTTAAACTACATATATCATTATATTAATGATTTATTATGAGTCAGAATAGTACGTAAACAAACTCTAATGTCTATTAACTCAAACCTGATGAGAGGGGCTTATATACTACGTCTTTGAAAAGATAGAAGTTATTTTAAACATGAATAAGTCATAAGACTTAAGTGGTGAATGACCAAGTCCATATGGGCTAAAATGGATTTTAACATTTTTTTTAAACTTAAATTATATATAATTATATTAATGATTTATTATAAGTCATGCTAAGCATACTATAATATTTATTAATAAAGACTTGACGGAAGGGACTTATATGCTATATTTTTTAAAATGTATGAGTTATTTTAGACATGAGTAAACCATAAATCATAACGACTCAAATAGTTCATGATCAAAATTTATTCTTATTTGGTTCTCTGGATTTTTGTTCTTAACTTATTTATGGAGTGAGTGATTCATATTTTTAGAAAAGATAATTATTATGCTTAGTCTCGTATGTGCGAAAGGTTGTAAGTGGAGGACTAGCATCGCTATACCTGGATGAGGGTTTTGAAGTAATATATTATCTTTTGTTGCTTGGAAAAAACAAATCTTCTAATTTGACTTACTTATCTTCTGGAGCTGGCCAAGTTGGGTCGGATGGGTTCGGGATGGATCCGACCCAAATTTGACGACAGGGCTTCTTCTTCAAGCTTCAACGTCGCCTAGCTATGAATAAAATCTCGATCTCGATTCTTCGAATCTTAAAGCTTCTATTTAGATACCAAACATAAATCTTGGGATCGACGGCTGAGGAAAACCGAAGCGACGCCCATGATGATAACAGTGGCTTCTCCACGCCCTCCCCGAATCTCCCCGTCGTCGACCTTTCCAAAACCTGCTAGCTCTTCTGAACATCCCAGCGTCCTCCCGTGCGTTTCAATCCCATTTCGCGGTTTCCAATCCAGGGTGCGCACGAGATCTTTCTTTAGGTGCTTCTGCGCCGGGAAGGATAGCGCAGATGAACTGTTCGAGGCAATGCCTATTCCATCTCCGTTTCCTGGAATCAGCTGTTTGCCTTTCCTGTCGTTCCTCCTTTACTTCAGTATCATCAGCGCCAGATTGGTTCGGTGACGTGGATAATTTGATTTAATTTTCTCCTGGAAAACAGGGGTTTTCAGTGCTTCCATCCGACGTACCATGGGAAAATAGTGACGTATGGTCCATATGTGCGGCCTATTTCTTCGTCTTGCACGTTCCTTTGAGCTTTGGAGGGCTCTCAGTCATCGCTCAAATTCTTCATGAACCTAACCTTGATCCGCTGACGATGGTGAACGAGCTATTCCAGATAGCAAATGTTGTAGAAACACGTGATTCACATACTTTAAAAAAGCTGTTCTTTGTTGATTAAACAATCACCACTTCTGTTCAATGCAGGTTGTGTCCATCACTGTGCTACAAGTTACAGAGTATGTTGGAGTTTCAACACTGTTGCATTTTAATGCAAAGCCGCAATATGATGTTTGCAGATTCTTCCATGCAAAGTGGTTTTGGGGAGGAAGAAGCTGCATCACAGCATCTATTGTGGGGATTGGTACTTTGATTGGGCTAGTGTTTCTCACATCCATAGTTGCTGACATGCTGGTTGGACCTAAGGTAAGCTAAACTGCTATGTTTAATGCCTAGAATTTCCTCTATTGACTTCGTAGCAGGATTTTAGTTTATTTTGATTGCAAAGGAGGCTTTTTTTTTTTACCTTCTAGAAGTCTAAATACTCATGTTATCAAGCTATGGCAAGTTGAACTGTTATTTGCTGAAGAAGTGTTGAATTTACATATTAAATACAACTGCGACAAAAGATTCTTAATTCCGAAAATATGATTGATGAAACAAACCTTTCAAAGAACATATTGAACATCTATGGTATCACTATTCTGGTAGGTAGGTTTTACTGGTAAGTAGATATATCCGCTATGTAATAATAAACAACTGTATTCGTGGTATCACTATTCTGGTAGGTTTACTGGGACAGAAAGAAGAAAAAAGTAAAACCATGTCGAGCAAGTTTTCTTCTGCTTATGTGTGGTAAACTAGTTCTTTTACATCCTAGCACTTGCTAAAGTGTATGTTATGGTGAGAATCAATTTGAATGTGGAATGAACTTGCAGGTATTTGATGTAGTGATAATTATGAGCATTTAAACTACTTTCTGCTTCTTTTCTGACTAAATTAGTTCTTCTGTGGTTGCTTGCAGGATGTGAATGACCCGATCTTGAAAAAGATTCTTTCGGATAGCCCTTTGTCTATGATGTCATGCTTTTTTCTGTATTGCCTCGTTAGTCCTTTGTTGGAGGAAACTGTTTATCGGGGGTTCCTTCTATCATCTCTATCCTCCACAATGAAATGGTGGCAAGCTGTTATTATTAGTTCATTTGTTTTCAGCATTGGCCACTTCTCTGGTGAGAATTCTCTGCAACTCTTCCTCATTGGTTGTGTTGTTGGTTCTGCATATTGTTGGACTGGCCAATTGACTCCTTGCTTTGCCATTCATTCTGTATATAATGCAATGATATTACTAATAACTATGATGTCGTAAATTCATATCAAGGATGTACACTAAGATCGCTTTCATTTAGTTGCATGTTCACTTTTCTTTTGTTTCTTAGAGAGATTTATACTCTATGGTTGAATCATGAAATTAATCACCTTGAGTAAATCTGATTTTTTGTAGCTGAAAGAGGAAAGCAACTAATAAATCAAACGGACTATCTTGTCAAATGCATATGCTGACTAAAATGTGTTCTTCCTTTGGGTAAAGGAGAAATATCTACTAAAGGTTTCCTAGGAAAGTTCAAAATTGATAGCAGGTGGCATCGCCGACTTTCATATGGAGTATGTTACTGTTTTCATTGACATGTATTCACCAGCTGCATTCCTTTTAAGCTGAGGTTTTGCCCCTTCGATGCCAGCAAACCATTTGCATTCCATTTTGTGGGTCATAATTGATCTGTCTTCATTTGAGAATATATCTTATATTCGTATGGCTAACAAAGATTAAAATGGCTACACCATTATAAACTGTTGGTGTCTTTTTTGGACCATTGGTTGGATTAATGATGTCAAAGTTTATATTAAAAGTGAGTAAAAATTAAGATTAACTAATAAAGATTTGATGAATATATGAATTTAAATTTAAATATTTTGATCCATTAAATCATAATAATTAATCTATATAGAAAAAACATCAAATAACATGCAAATCGCATATAATCTTGATGAGACGAGAGGGATCTAATTTTATTGTAATAATAATAATAATAATATATTTGAACTTTGAGATGAAGATTCGATCCAAATTTAAAACTGAAATATAAGAGTTGGGACAAAAAGGACCTGCACCCCACCTGATCAATTTTAGGTCGGACGTATTATTGTCACCCCCACCGTTTTGCATGGATCCGCGGGATCTGTACGAAGCAATCTTGCATTCATGTGAGCGTTGCAGAGCTGGTGCCCACAACCTTGTCACAGGATGATGCAGTGACAGCCACCGAGTCCGGGGTTGTGGTCCATTCTACGTTTATGTCGCATGTTTTGCTAGGATTATAACGTGTTTCGATGGTATTTGTTTTACCTTCATCATCTCTGTCTCGTCTCTGTAAAAGAGCCTTTGCTTTACACCCTGTTCTTATCTGCTATCCAACTCGGTCACTGCTATCTTTTTCAAAAGCCCGGAAATCGTGCAAACCATGATCATCCCAACGGTGCATGGCACGTATCACGGCATATTTCAAATCCCACCACTGGATACGTATACATTACAAAAAATAAAAATAAAAAATAAAAGTATGGAGAGGGAGAGAGCGATGCACACATAGATATCCCTATTAAAGAAGTGGAATCTGGGTGGGAAGGAACACAGCGTGAGAGGTCGCCATGGCCGGAGGCTTCGAGGAGCAGGTGAAGGAGCGAGCCAAGGAGTTGAAGCACCTGGTGAAGAAGGGGATGAAGGTGGTGGGGGAGACCTGCAAGAAGACCTGGCACAAGGTTCGCCACATCAGGGGTTGACTCGTGGCTGCTGACTTCTTCTTCTTCCTCCCCTCGTCCATGTAGATCTGCTGCTGCTGGCTTTGTTTCGATTAGGTTTGCTACGGTTAGATCGTATTCGTTGCTTTTGTTGCTTGCTGCTTTTTGTTGGTGTTGGAGTTGGAGTTGTTGTCGACGATGCTATCGTGTTAGCTGCGTTCTCCGAGTTGTATAACCACACTGAGATGTATATCCTTTGGTGTGTGAGATGAAATAGTTGTTCCTGTTGCTGCTACTACTCGATCCCTTGTGCTTGTCTTTCTAATCCGAACGATTAAATTAGTTTTCGTTATTTCTTTTCTGCATCCAATGGAGGAAAGGGAAGAAGAAGAAGAAGAAACAGTGGAGACTCGTCACATCATTACTTCTCGACACACTGATCAGATGTCGTTTCCGTAATTTGTTTGTATTGATTTTGGTAATTTGCTGATCGCTACCATCCAATAACTAAAACAACAATCTGTTTTCGGTGTGTATTTATAAATAATAAATAAATGCCGATCGGCATGTACTGATATTGATATGATGACTGCTCCAACATATTTTATTAAGATTTTTCTATGCAAATCTCAAAAAAACAAAAAGAAAAACCGAGATCTTGATTGTGAATGAATGTTCTTTTTATGCTCCTCCTAATCTCTAATATTCACAATCTCAACCTATGTAAATTCGATATAATATATATATATATGAAAAATACTTACTAAATCTATTTTGCTTATTGCAACTAAAGTCATCCCTTGGAATGATTATGAGACTGACTATATTGCACGGCACAATCGATATGGAAGTTGAGAGTAGAAAATAAATATCCATTTAAATTCAATTTTGAAGCATCCGAAGACGGTAGCATATATCTGCCATGGATCGATCGAGTCTATTTCAAGAACATCAGTTCCAATTGCTTCTGCTTTGACCAAGTCCTTGTTAGCCGACCAAAGCCTAATTCCGAATCCATGAATGAACCCTCAAAATGCTACAGCCGAAAGATACGACATTTTTTACGCTTCACGAGACAAGATAAAGAGGGATCGAGTAAGCATCCTTTTTCCGACCCTTTTTATCTCATCTCCGTTGTAGTGAGGAAATGGATTACGAGTGGTGACTAGATTGTTTCATCTGTGCTTTTTAATTGAACGTTTGCCTGGCAATCTTTTTTGTTTTGTTTTGTTTTGTTATATATGTTTCAGAACGATCTAGTCATGTTCTCTCTCGTTATGTCTGCCAAGTGAATGACATATTGTCTAGCCGAAAAGAAACTCTGTCCGATTTGGCCAATGTGTGATTATTGGGGTATTCCTATAGTCTGCACTCAACTCCCTCCCATTGTTTTCGGCATACCACCACGGACTGCTAATTCCTTGTGTTGAATTCTTTGTGGGGTTAAACCAAAAATAAGCCCTGGGGGTGGGGGTGTCACACACCCTTTGCAAGCAAATCCGCTGTATCTCTGTCGAAGCACCACACACATGCCTAAATCCTTCTGTATTAAGTCTAAACCCAGATGGTTCCTCAGCAGATTTATACTGGGATTGAACCCTGAGATGTGTTTGCTTACACAACCAAATCATTTACAAGCTCTATTTCTCGTGAAAGAGTGCTCTTGCTAACATGGCCAATAGTTTGCAGCAACTCTAAATGTTAATGTCCCCGATCGTGGTAGTTTGCTCTGGCCATGGGCTTTCTTAATTCCTTGTAGCTCCTGCATAATGCGTAGCTAAGTTTTATTGCTCAATTGTCTAACGAAGAAAATGGTAAGACCCTAGGGTCTTATCATGGAAGAAAAAGGGAGAAAACGAAATGATCACTTCAAGGAGATTGGCCTCTTTGAACACTTGAGGGGATCGGTCTCTTAAGGTTTTGTCAAAAGATTGAATAATAATATTTTATTATCTCCAAGAGAATTTACATGATTTTAACTGAACTAAACAGACTCAATAAATATTATTCAAAAGCTCAGAAAAAATATCCTAACAGAAAATTATATAAATTACATGTTAGGGTTCCAGAATAACTTATTAAGTGGAGTATGGGATTCCAATAACTTATAAAAATTTTAACATTCTTCTAATTGGTCCACGTGTCATAACCTCTTAAAAATTAGCAAGGAGTGATAATATCTTTATATGATGATGAAAATAAATCTGGTCATATATTACAACTCATACTCTTGGAAAAGGATGCAACACTTAAATCATAGGAGCTGTATTTAGTTAATATAATACTTGTACGTATTACAACATATAACACCCTCCAGATAAGTACTTTATGAGTTAATTAATTTATGAATGACTATTAGTCATTCAACATCCAACAAATTTTATCCATGCATACTACTTTATGCATACAAAAGTCGGATACTTTTTATTTATAAAAAAAATTTAAAGCAATATATTATATCAAATATTGCATAAACTAATAATCCTCATATGCTCCACATGACTCTTATAGTATATTGTCGATAAACCTTTGACTATGAGATCTGTAATTATTAGTTGGATGCGAGCATAATAAATATCTACTTCATTCTTTTTTATGTGATTCTCAATAGCAGGATAGTTTATATCATCAATATGCTTAGTGAGAATTCTACTTATCGTTCGTTCATAAAATTTAAAAAAAATGATGATTGAGTTGTCACAAAAGATTTTTATAGGTCAAATAACTAAATTGATAACTTTTAGCTACGAGATAAATGTTCCATAACCGCCTAAGCAGTGGCAAACTCTTCTATAGTGGAATAAAGCAACAAACAGTTTGTATGTTACTTCTCCAAAATACTACATATTCAACTGATAGAAAAAATATATTCATAGACTTTTGAATATCCACACGTCCACCAAAATCTGAATATAAATTATCTCAAGTCGATTAGATTGTCTATAAACTAATATATAATCATTTATTTTTTAAAAATATCTTATGATCTTCTTTGCAGCCTTTAGTGAGTCTTTTATTATTATTATTATTATTATTATTATTATTATTATTATTATTATTATCTACTACGCATTTCTACTCTAATTATTCATACATTAAGCATTCAACAATAGACACATAGGACGTATTTTTCATCTGCTCCTTTCTCAAATCATTTTATTAATATTGATTCTGACTAATTTAATCTCCTTTCGCTGCACTATTGAAAAAAAGAATAGTCTTGTATTCTAAATATTTTTAATTTTTTTATAATGATATTTTAGGATAATCCTAATGATATTTTATAATTATCTCTATAAATCTCTATACCAATAGCATAAGAGGCTTTACCTAATTTCTTCATCTCAAGAATTTAAGAAAGAAAATGCTTTGTTTTATGTAGCACAATAAAGTTATTACTTGCAAATAAGATATCATCAATATGTAGTACTAACAAAATTATTTTGGTACCACTAATCTTAACATACACATATTGATCTATAGTGTTTCTATAGTAAAGCCATAAGAGGTAATAATATTTTAAAATTTAGTATGCCACTTCATATATTAATTTCTTTAACTTATAATTTAAATAACTTTTATTAGAAAAACTCTTATCTTCCCATCCGTTTGATATAATTTTAAATCAAAATGAGTTA